AACCATTCTGCCTGTCACTAATCACTCTATTTCTTTCCAAATGTGCATATATTTTGTCCCTCAGTATCTTCTCCAAGACCTTCCCCACCACAGATGTCAGGCTCACCGGCCTATAATTTCCTTGATTATCCCTGCTTCCTTTCTTAAACAAGGGAACAACATTGGCTAATCTCCAGTCCTTTGGAACTTCGCCTATGGTCAAAGACGATGTGAAGATATTTGCTAATGCCCCAGCTATTTCTTCTCTTGCCTCTCGCATTAACCTGGGATAGATCCCATCTGGCCCTAGGGACTTGTCTACCTTAATGCAATTTAGGATAACCAAAACTTCCTCCTGGAGGCGAAATTGATAAACGTTTCCAATTCCGGATGAGAGAGGGACACAGCACCGATGATACTATCAATATACCAGAGAAAGAATTGTGGGTGGGGTGTGGAATAGGCCTGAAACAAGGAATGTTTCACATACCCAGAAAGAGACAGTCATAACTGGGGCCCATGCAGGTACCCATGGCCACCCTTCTGGCCTGAACAAAGTGAGAGGAGTTAAAAGAGTTCAGACTGAGGAAAAGGTGGAGGAGGGTGGTGGTGGATGGGGCCAGTCCATGCCTTTTTCCCAGGAAAAAGTGGAGAGCCTTGTGACCATCCTGATGGGGGATGGACATATAAAGGGATTTCATGTAACGAGGAGGAGGCTGGATCCCGCAAACTGGGAATTCTGAAACTGACGTAAAGTGGCAGAGCAATCACGGATGTAAGCTGGAAGGGACAGGACAAGGGAAGAAAAACAATCATGTCAATGTAGGAAGACGTAAGTTCTGTGGCGCAGGAGCAGGCAGAAACAATCAGTCTGTTTGGACTGTCCTGTTTGTGGATTTTGGGAAGGAGATAGAAGTGAGCTGAGCGGGGTTGGGAGACTATGAGCTTGGAGTCATAAACATACCTTTGGCAAAGGCAAATTCAGCAAACAGATTGTCTCACATACTATTCCAGCAGCAGGAAGAGTACTCCCAGCTTTTAGCTGTAATCAAGAGAGGGAAACAGGCATCCATATCAGTTTCAAGAACCCAGCAGCTACTACTGAAACTGAAACTAAAATTCCTGGCTCTGTGGGAGCTTGACCCCACCCATTCAGGCTGATTCTGTTGTTCTGACCTGAGGAAAAAAATCCCAAGGCCTCACAAACTGTTTACTCTAGTATCTCTGAGTAGACTGCTTGTACCTCTCTCTCTCAACCTTTCTTCATAAAAAAAGGACAAAATTAACCTCTTAAAGGCATAATATCAGCACAAGTGGCCCCATAAGGCACTCAGTTCAAGGGCAGTTAGGGATGTGCAACAAATTCTGGCTCAGCCTGTGACACCTTATCCCATGAAAGAGTTTTAGAAGAACTTTTGACAAAACCTATACAGCAATGTACTTTTTAAATGGTAAAAGAAAAGCTGGAAATGGTGAAAGCCTCCAAGGATATTCAGGCATGTTGTCTGATAGACCCGCTCGTGAATTTTCAGTGGGAATTGTGCAGCATCGGGCTTCAGGGGTGATATTCACTTTTTCAATACCAGGGGCAGGTACCCAGACTGATAGTCCATCATTTGTATCTTAGGTTCAATGGTTAAGGATCAAAAATCAAGGTTAATATTCTTTCAGCCTTTCTTGATCAGTGGGTAGCAACTAGGAACAGGGAAGCTGTCAAACATCACCTTTGTCAAAAGGTGAGCAGTTAACAATTGGGAATGGGAACAAGGGTCACATTCTCTCTCAATCACATATTACAGGTTTAGGAGGACTCACATGCAGCAAGGCTTTTATGCTTATTACAATGAATGCTGAAAATCTGAAATTAAAATAGAAAATTCCAGTAGGTCTGGCAATGCCTGGAGAGAGAAATGGGCTAAATTTTCAGCAGAAATGGTAGAAATTTGAATGTAACAGGTTTTAATCAAATGCAGGGAAGGAGCGTGATCTGGAGGCAGGTTAAAATGAGACATCACTGATAGGGTAGAATGTACAAGGGAGTCAATGACAAAAAAGATGACAGTCTAAAGGAAAAAGAGACAATGGGACCAGACAAGATGCAAAGAATGAGTCCGGAGGAGGTATAAATAAAACAACAGAATCATCAATAACAGCTGCTGTCATCTGAAAAAAAACGTGTCCAGTGTTTAAAATCTGAAATTGTTGAATTCCATATTGAGTCTGGAAGGTTGTAAAATTCTGAATTGAAAGATGAACTGCTGTTCCTTAAGCCCTTTTTGAACTTCATTTGTACAGTGCAGCAGGTTGAGGACAGAGAGGCCAGAGTGTTAGCGGGCAAAGAATTAAAGTGGCAAGAGACTGGATACTCAGATTCATGTTTGCAAGCTGAGCAGAGACATTCAGTGAATATTGAATCTTACATTGAAAGAACTGCAAGCAAATTGCTGATGTAGCTTTGGTTTAGTCAATGGGAAGAAAGCCAGGGGTAGGGAACCTGACAACAAGGTGCAGGGCTGGATGAACACAGCAGGCCAAGCAGCATCATAGGAGCAGAGAGGCTGACGTTTCGGGCCTAGACCCTTCATCAGAAAAGGGGGAGGGGAAGGGGGTTCTGAAATAAATAGGGAGAGAGTGGGAGGCGGATAGAAGATGGATAGAGGAGAGGATCGGTGGAGAGGAAACAAACAGGTCGAACAGGCGGGGATGGAGCCAGTAAAGGTGAGTGTAGGTAGGGAGTTAGGAAGGGGATAGGTCAGTCCAGGGAGGACGGACAGGTCAAGGGGGCGGGATGAGGTTAGTCGGTAGGAGATGGGGGTGCGGCTTGAGGTGGGAGGAGGGGATAGGTGGGAGGAACAACAGGTTAGGGAGGCAGGGACGAGCTGGACTGGTTTTGGGATGCGGTAGGGGGAGGGGAGATTTTGAAACTTGTGAAATCCACATTGATACCATTGGGCTGCAGGGTTCCCAAGCGGAATATGAGTTGCTGTTCCTGCAACCTTCGGGTGGCATCGTTGTGGCACTGCAGGAGGCCCAGGATGGACATGTCGTCTGAGGAATGGGAGGGGGAGTTGAAATGGTTCGCGACCGGGAGGTGCAGTTGTTTGTTGCGAACCGAGCGTAAGTGTTCTGCAAAGCGGTCCCCGAGTCTCCGCTTGGTTTCCCCGATGTAGAGGAAGCCACACCGGGTACAGCGGATGCAGTATACCACATTGGCAGATGTGCAGGTGAACATCTGCTTGATGTGGAAAGTCTTCTTGGGGCCTGGGATGGGGGTGAGGGAGGAGGTATGGGGGCAGGTGTAGCACTTCCTGCGGTTGCAGGGAAAAGTGCCAGGTGTGGTGGAGCTGGAGGGGAGTGTGGAGCGGATAAGGGAGTCACGGAGAGAGTTGTCCCTCCAGAAAGCAGATAAGGGTGGGGAGGGAAAGATATCTTTGGTGGTGGGGTCGGATTGCAGATGGCGGAAGTGTCGGAGGATGATGGGTTGGATCCGGAGGTTGGTGGGGTGGTACGTGAGGACGAGGGGGATTCTTTTTTGGTTCTTATTGCGTGGACGGGGTGTGAGGGATGAAGTGCAGGAGATGTGGGAGACACGGTTGAGGGCATTCTCGACCACCGAGGGGGGAAGTTACGGTCCTTGAAAAACGAGGACAACTGAGATGTACGGGAGTGGAATGCCTCATCCTGGGAGCAGATGCGGCGGAGGCGAAGGAATTGGGAATAGGGGATAGCATTTTTGCAGGAAGGTGGGTGGGAGGAGGAGTATCCTAGGTAGCTGTGCGAGTCGGTGGGCTTGAAATGAATATCGGTTTTTAGGTGATTGCCCGATATGGAGACAGAGAGGTCCAGGAAGAGGAGAGAGGTGTCAGAGATGGTCCAGGTAAACTTAAGGTTGGGGTGTAGAGCTGGATGCACACAGCGGGCCAAGCAGCATCAGAGGAACAGGAAAGCTGACGTTTCGGGTCTGGACCCTTCTTCATAAATGGGGGAGGGGGAAGGGGATTCTGAAATAAATAGGGGGAAAGGGGGAGGCGGAAAGAAGATGGATAAAGGAGAAGATAGGTGGAGAGGAGACAGACAGTTCAAGGAGGTGGGGTTGGAGCCAATAAAGGTGAGTGTAGGTGGGGGGTTAGGGAGGGGATAGGTCAGTCCAGGGAGGACGGACAGGTCAAGGAGGTGGGATGAGTCTAATAGGTAGGAGATGGGGGTGGGGCTTGAGGTGGGAAGGGTGGATAGGTGGGAGGATAGGTTAGGGAGGCGGGTACGAGCTGGGCTGGTTTTGGACCTGAAACGTCAGCTTTCCTGCTCCTCTGATGCTGCTTGGACCGTTGTGTTCATCCAGCTCTACACCTTGTTGTCTCAGATTCTCCAGCATCAGCAGTTCCTACTACCCCTCAAACTTAAGGTTACATTTGAAGAGATCCCATTAGTTAATGGCCAACGAACTGCTTGGATCAATTGCTGATTGGATTGAATTATTGAACATTGAAGAATTATTGAACTCCTGTGACCGAGATTCTATTTCACGTCATGATATTATGAAATATCAGAATGTTACTGCAATATATCTCTGTCTCTACCACCACCACCGCATTTGCTAAACACAGCAGAGAAACATCACTTACTTGAATACAATTTAAGTATAAGCAAAAACTGAAAGAACTGTGGATGCTGTAAATCAGAAACAAAAACAGAAATTGATGGAAAAGCTCGCAGGTCTGGCAGCATCTGTGGACAGAAATCAGAGTTAACATTTTGGGCCCAGTGACTCTTCCTTTGAATTGATGGAATTTCTGAGGAAGGGTCACTCAACCCAAAACATTAACTCTGATTTCTCTCCACAGATGCTGCCAGACCTGCTGAGCTTTTCCAGCAATTTCTATTTTTATTAAGTATAAATAGTTGTTTGATAGTAAAGAACTTGAGTACTCGTGAGAAAAGACAGATTTTGTCAAAGATTTTGCACTCATTATAACATTCGCAAGACAAACAGAAGTAAATGGAAAAAAACATTTATACTGTATGAGAGATATGATGACTGGCAGTTAACTGTCAAAATTTGTTTACATTTTAAACAAGGCAGGCTGATCTGTCAAGATATTTGTAATACACAAGGCCCTGTTGTTTGCAGATGGAAGAACATGCACCTGTTTCCACTCAACAAAATAGGTAACAGCCATTTTCTGATTCCTTTCTCAGTAAAAAATGCCTTGCCAAATCAGAGTCAACATGCAATTGGCAATTAACTACCAGCCATCATTAACTGGTGCATTGTCCACAGCAAGGCCTTTACCATCTAGGGTCCATTTGGCAACCAATCACCAGTCATTAAGTATAAATATTTCCTTTTTAATTTGTATTTTTCACAAATTGTCCTGATTGGTATGAGAGAAAAGAACCTTTGACAAAATGCACCTTTTTTCATCAATACTTAAATTGATATGTACAACATAGAACATCAAAGACCTGATATTTATTTACATAAGTGACTGGTTTTAACAATGTAATGATGTGGAAAAGATGCTAAGGTTTACATATGATATTGCCATCAGGCAATGTAGTTATAGCCACGTGGTTGGTTTGCAGTGCAGCAGCTCTGTTAACAAGCTTTATGTTGAGGGTTTTGACTCCATGGTGAATTCCCCCTTGTGCTCAGTACTCAGTGATTTCAGACAGTCTCTGCACCTGATCCTCTTTGGCCTCAACAATAAGTTGTACACGATCACAGCCAAGACTCCTCCGAGCATGGGTCCCACCCAAAAAATCTGCAACAACACAACAGATGCAATTTAATTTCTGAAGCTGCAGCCTGTGATCTGAGCTGGTAGGTGTTAAAAGATAAATCAAACATCCTGATGTTAACAATCTTTTGTGCGCAGAGCTGCAGTTGTTTAATTGTTTGGGGCGGCACGGTGGCTCAGTGGTTAGCGCTGCTGCCTCACAGCACCAGGGACCCGGGTTTGATTCCACCCTCCGGCGACTGTCTGTGTGGAGTTTGCACATTCTCCCCGTGTTCTTGTGGGTTTCCTCCGGGTGCTCTGGTTTCCTCCCACAGTCCAAAGATATGTAGGTTAGGGTGGATTGGCTATGCTAAATTGCCCATTGCGTTCAGGGATGTGTAGATTAGGTGGATTACAAGGGGACAGGTCTGGGTGGGATGCTGTGAGGTTTGGTTTGGACTTGTTGCGCCAAAGGGGCTGTTTCCAAAATAAAAAACTGCATACAGTTCTGGTAAATCAGATTAAATCAGGTAAATCAGGTGCAGATTGCCATGTGGAAATCGGAGCCCAAATCTTCCAATCAAACAAAAAGTTTTTTCCCCATTTTTTGGGCGTGACATCCAATGCAGGATCCATCTGAATAGTCATTGATGCTCATGTGAATGTTGCACTTTGTCGAGAATCTTCACAGAAGCCACACGCCCTTTTTATGATGTAGCTACAATATTCTAGTAAGTAAACAAAGTTTAAATGTTATGAGGAAGGGTCCTGGGACCCAAAACATTTAACTCTGTTTTTTCCTTCACAGATGCTGCCAGACCTGCTGGGCTTTTCCAGCAACTTAGTTTTTGTTCCCGAGTCATAGCATCCACAGTTCTTTCGGTTTTTAAATGTTCCAAAGCCTGTTTGGTATCTACTGAGAAAAAGTAAATGTGTGTGGGAGTATGGTGGTGTATTTTAGGTTCTGAAAAGGTTAATTTTCGAGATGTATTAGGCTCCACCATATTACAGCATCTTGAGTGGAGAATCGGGGAGTCTAGTTGAGAACCTGATGGAGTCAGATACGTCATCCCTGGCAGTTCATAGACTCCATTGTTCTTTTTAAGCAAACCATGTGACTTGTATCAGTTGCTATCATGCACCAAACTACATCCTGTTATTAAGACAAGTGTACCTTCACGTTGAGACTCATTAGCGATTCACACTTCATCAATATTAACCAAACAAGCCCTTAGACCCAGTATAGAAAGGAGCATTGTGGCAGTGCTCTATCACAACTAGCATCTGTCAATGTGTAAAGGCCACATTTTTTTTTATGAATTGTTGGTTATGGACTGAAATTGGGACAGGCTGGTTAAACATCAAGGATTATCAAAGGATTTTCACACTTTCTAAAAGCAAGTAACCTCATGCTCATTGTGTGTGCTGTTTCCTCAGCTGCTTGCTCAAGTAGTAGATAGAGCAAGCTTAGTTACAGACTAGTTGGAGCCAGGGGGAAACTGAATGGAATTTTAGCAACAAGTAACTGATTGTTCTGTGGACTAGTGACAAGTTCTTGACGACAAAAGTCTTCTGCTTTGGCTGGTAACTGAACAGCTTGGGGGTGTGAATGCTTGGGAGAATCAATTGAAATTCCACAAGGGCAGGAGTGGTCTCCTTCTTCTGCAGGAAAAACCACATATGATGAGGAACAAGAGTAGGCCACTTGGCCCTTCAATAAGATCATGACTGATCTGATTTTAACCTGAACTCTACATTCCTGCATATCCCTGATAAGGATGAAGAAAGCCACTTTATTTTTCCCTCAGCAGTTGCCATAAGTGTGAACCAACCCTCTGTACCTTACCTAACCCTAACACTAAACCCTTACATAAGCAGAACTACCTGGAGAAGGAAGGTCAAGAAGCAACAACTCATCAAGTAAAGGATCATGTCAGCAAACCCTGTGAACAGGGACAATCGAACTACCCTTCCAGACTTACCCTCTGCCCATCATATCAATAGTTCGTCTAATTGGTTTTTTGGTGCGTGGCCCTGTGAGGTCTGTGCACAGCCGCAACTTCTGAAAGTAGGCTGCAGCTGACTGGCATGCATGGAACCTTGGAGAAACCTTGGAGTGGCTGCACACCATACAGCTTAGAGGGAACACTGCACCACACTTTATTTTTCAGTAGTAACATTGTATTATCAACACTTCATAATTGTTTATCCCATAACTAGAACCTATTTATTTGCAATAATTAGTTGTTCTTGTAAAGTGCCTTCTGTGAACTGAGTCAAAAAGACAGGAAAATTGGGCAGTGTTGTGTACTTTTATAATATCCAACATTTGTAATGAGCCCCAGGAATAGCTGGCCTTGTGTTTTAGGGTTGTACCCCATTTGTCATGGCAAGTAATTGGTTTCAGAGATATACAATAGGGTGATCAATGGTAGGATTTTTGCTTAGATATGTCAACAATGGTGAAAGAAATTCATTCAGTCTCCATTCAGGAGATAAATTTTTAGAAGACAAGTGAGTTTATCACTTTAAGGACATTACCAGTTTAAGAATACTTAGTCAGTCAGCAGTTCCAAGTGGTTGACCAGAGAAGCAGTTATCAGAACCTATGGACGGAGCAGCAGGTCAAAAGCTGTGGTCCAGGCTCCAACTTTCACCGTAGACCTGGTAAGAGTTGCAGGAAAGCCAGTGTGGGCTAGGACTAGAGTAAAAGCCTAGTCGCACATGGCAGATATAGAATTCTTAGAAAAGAAGGATCTGTAGTGTCAGTCCCAGTTTGAGGCTTGTCTGGGAAGCAACCATTTCAGAGCTCATGGAATAAAATTAAAGATCCTTTTGGGCAAGGGGATAACATCTGAAATTAACAAAGAAAATGACCAGCCTGAAAACGATAGAGAGAAAAAAAGAAGCAATCGTTGTCCACAGTGAGCATCATAGTCATAATGAGTGCACACGACACAGCATGGCTATAGTAATGACATCAACGGCCAGTAACTTAAGTTAAATCAAAGCCACAGCATCAGGGACGTCACAGAGCAGATTTGAATTGACAAAAGTGCTATGAAAAAGATTTAGAATACTTAATCTGACTGAAGACAATAGTTAGAAGACTGCGATAAGACCAAGAGCTAGGTGCCCTCTACTTTGTTTACTTCTGCGCCAGCCTCCAAGGTCTGTGTACAACGGCAACTTCCGAAACGGAAAATCAATAGTGGGATTAGCATCGGCATGACAATAGGCATGGGCAGACTCATGGAGGGGGAGTTTTAAATCTAAAAGGATTAAAATACTACAGTATTGTTGTAATATAAAATTAGACATTTTATTGTTTTAGACATTTAAAAAAGTTGTAATATAAAACAGATTAAAAGCCTGTAAGCAAAGACAAGAATTGGTATAATAGAATTTAATGATGCAGGGAGAACTTCTCTAGAAGTTTCATTAAGGCCACATGAGAATGGAGAAGTGTAAACACTCAGTGTCAATTGTAACTGGGATAGGTATTCTTAAAGACATCAGAAGGATGCTGCTGACATGTAGTACATGCAGAAATGTACAATACAAAGCAGGAAGAGAAGAGGATAGTTAAAGGGTTGCCCAGAACGTGGTACACTGTAGAGGCTGATTCATACTCGGTTGGTGAAGAACGGCATCTTGCAAGTGCAGCTTATAAAATGAAAGTTTCCATTTATCTAAAAAGTGAAAGATTCAAGAGCCAGGATCAAAAGGTCAGCAATTCTGTTCTGTTGAAGAAATTCCTAAAATAATGGATAATGGAACTTTCAGAGATCAATTTCTGGGTTCAACACCACATGATCCTTAGGGATACAGGTTTATAGAAAAGCACATCCAGGTGGTCAAAAGAACTCTCATGAACTGTCAAGAATAAAGAAAGACCTACACCATGACTTATTGTCAACTTATTACACCCCTCGAGGCTTAATAAAAACCATTTACAGAGCAATTGAATGTAAAAAAAGACAAGCCAACTCTGTCAAGGAAGAATATAACCTAAACCTAAGCCTAACGACCAGGGAGATGTAAGAATACAATTCACTGATGTACAGTTAGAAGGAAGTGAACCATTTCGTTGACATGCTCAATGCCTGCTGGAGTTGTTGAAAGAACAAACTGTGCATCCACAAGATCCAATCATGAAAACCTGAAACTTGGCAAAAATTGTTATGATGCTGAGACCCCAACAATTCATATTATCAAAACTGAAACCTAAGTAAATGGGATATAAATCCATATCCCCTTAAATATTGTAGTGATGAGGTGATGATGTTGAATCCATATTCTATTTACACAAGAGCTGGAAAAGCAGAAAAGCAATCAACACCAGCAACATCACAAATAAATGACCAAACACGAACAGCATCACCAACAAAAAGTGAAAGACCAAAACATCACCAACAAGTAGGATCACATTTAGTGACTCCTATAATACCTGGAGCAACAGGCACAGCATTGTCATTAGAGTATAGCAATTCATAATTTAGAGCAGTGGAGGTCAAATCAACAAGACAGAGGCATAATGTTTACCACCTGAATGAACGATACAGTGAATAATGTTTTGCTGAGAAAGGAGATCAAGCAAAAACAAACTTGTTGATTCGATTATTGGATTAATAATATTAATATAGAGGCATTATTCCATGAGGTCCACCAGACTGATCTCACTGCAGTCACTACATCCCTCCTCCTCTAAGCCCTGAGACTTAGGCCCATTCTTTTTCTTGTATTTTCTCCTGGGGCGTTTTGCACCAGGTCTGGTTCCTCCGATTGTGACGGATATTGGCAGCATATACCAGAGCATAGCCCACCTCTTGCACCTGGAGTGTCTTGGCCAAAATTCGTCTTCTTCAGGCAGTAATGGCATTGAGGCTGCGACATCTGCCCTGTCAGTCCCTTCCTCAGAGGTTTTTCGATGCTAAGTGAAGGGGGAAAAGCCACAGGTTCTGACAGCCTTGCTGGATGTTCTGAGGAGCCAGGCATGTTTTGCTCCTGTCCTGTTTGAACATAAAACACAATGACTAAGAACA